TGATATTTTCAGATTCCTTAAAATCTTGACTTAATATTGACTCAGTGAGCTTTCAAATAAGAATATCTGCCAAAGGCAATACTGAATACTACATATAGCTAAACACTGCAAAACCAACTAATTCTTAGTTTAGTGTTTTGATTCCAGATGTAACTGTGTTTTCAGGGTCTGTTCACCCAGGCTGCAAAACTAGATTTGTCAGGAAACCAGGCAGGGAGACAGCACTATAGGAGTACACATATACCTAAGCCAAACCATGTAAGGAGTAAATGAACTAAATGCACTGTATGAAGCCACATAAAAAGGCCCCTGCTGCTTGATGTTCTTGGGCTCAGAACTTTCTAGGAGTGTATATTTATAGTCCTACATTTATAGGCCTGTATTAAACATTTCACTTGCCGAAGCCAACCAGAGAGGCATTTAACGAAAGGTAATGAGAAAACCCCTTTATGTTTATTTCCCACAAACATTTAAGAAATTTATGGATACTGCCTGCAAAATCTAAAAATATCATGACTTTAGAGATGCTACTGGGTTTTGGGTGATAAAACATTCACAAAGAATCTATACACACTGGCAAAATAAAGAAGCAGAAGACATCAGTTGAACAGGTCTTCAATAACTTAATATGCACTGGAAATGGTGCTCTCACTGTTTCTCCAGAAAAAACCCACCATAATATTTGGTGTTCCTTTAATAATAACTATTGATGTGTGGGACGGCTAGGAAGAGATCGCCTTCCTGATACTGCTCTAACAATTGCAGTATTTCAAAAATCTTGTCCTCTGCTACCAACAAAATCCATCAGCATCTTTTGAGATAAGCCCAAAATTGATCAAACAAACAAGGACTCTGACTCTTAAGACAACTGGAGCTGGTTGGATCCAAGCTTTCCAACTTATACACATGGCATTTGGTAGAGTCACAGTCCAACAGCAGATGCCACCCTCAGATTAAAACTTCCAGAAATTAGAGACAACATTAAAAGGAAGACAGGAATTTAGGTATTTTTTTTACTATAATGTCAAACATTTGCTACATTTTAGCAGTCATATAAAATATTAAATATATCTTTTCTCATTTTCAATATATACATAATAGCACTGGACATCTCTAAACCAAACAAACAACAATACAGGATGTAAAGTAAAGCATCTCAAGAGGCAGGAGGCAATACAACTGTGTCAAGTGACAAATGATGTAGTTCTTAGAGATGGAAATCATTCTGTTTTTTATAAATATGCAATTACAAGCAAGCCCAAAAATAAAAATGGCTCCCAAGAATTCACCCTGAAGTGGACATCTTACAAAATGGTGTTTGAACAAGTCAACCAGGGCACACCTAACCAATGAATATCATTCCAGGTTCCTGTGTGCTGGCCCAAGAACAATGCCACATTGAACACAATGGACAGAACTACACTCGAGTAGTCTCAGGTAGATAAAAACATTCCTGAAATCACACTTCTTTCAGCTGCAACATGCCAAAACTCCTTGTCTGTTACAGGGTGGAGTCATGCATCCCCCTAATTTTCATCAATTGTTAATAATGATATAGGTAGGTCCAGTGCTGTAAGAGCAAGAACAAAGAACTGTTTTGGGCGGGAAGCTCTGAACATATGGCCTCTCAAATCACCTGACAGGTTCTCAGATCCAAATCTTTAAATTCTACCTCAAATCCCAGAAAATTAGGAAGTGAGGAGTTTCAGTTCCTTGCTCTGGAGATTATAATGCAACAGTGGGAGGCTGAAGCACAAAGCCAACCCAACAGCTAAAAAGACCCTACACAAATCCAGAAGGTCAGTCAGGGTGCTTACCCTGTGTTTGAAAACTTCATCATAGACAGCAGAGTCTTGGACAGCACATACCATAATTTTATGCTTTCAGTGCAGACCACACAGATCATTAGTTTAATGACATGTAAACCTTCCAAACCTCATCTTCTAAGTGGTCTTTAAATCCACATCCAGTCACAGAGAGGAGAGGCCACCCTCAGGGCGTGGTATTTGACAATACACCCAGGAACCAACTGCTTCCCAAGGGGACAGTCCCGCTCCCTTCAGCCCCTCAGCTCTGAGTTCCAGCCCCTTCTTTGCCTTTGGCTCTTTCAATCAGTTTAAAGAAGCAGATCTTCAAAAGCCTATTTATCTTGGGGGAGGACAGAAGGAACAGATACTTTTCTGCCCATTCAGCCTATGAACTTACTCACTGCTGGTGTGATGAATGCAAAGGTGGCAGTGTGTAGCTGAGGGCTAGGAATACAGCCACACATCTGAGGAAGATTATCCACTACACCAAGAGCATCAAACTATGGCTTTTCATAGCACAATAACCTCTGAATGAGAAAATACACAGAAGAAACCTGAAAGACGAATGAAAAATGAAAAATGCTGATTTGCTAGTTGTGTCATTAGCAGGACCCACTGATACTCTGGATAACATTTTGGAAAAATTTACTCTATCACTTTGCTCAAAACCAAAGAAGGCAAAGTCTGAAGTTCATTCCACCCATCCATCAAAGCTATTGTAACCTCAGATGGCTCTCCATATCAGATGATCTGCTTTTCTTTACTAAAGCTTTATTAGTCTTATCATGATTACTTCAATATTTTATTTCCACAGGAATTAATTTTTAACTGTAATACAATCCAGCCTGTTGCAAAAGATTGCTCCAGGTGTAGTTGTGTTCCCGGCATGCTTAATGGCTGTGGCCAGTCTAGGGGCCGGGCCGCTCCCTGCCGGCCCCCGATAACCCCTTTGAGAAAATGTGTTTGTCCTCAGCCAGCGCTTTGAAGTTTAGAGAAAGAACACTCTTCTGCTTACACACTGATGAGAAAATACTCTGCTGTTGCACTGACTGAACACAGCTCAATGCTTCTTCACGCTGGAGGAGCTGCTGTTATATTGCTTCATTGCCTTCCCTTACCAGCCATCTATTTTGCTTTGAGCGTGGCTTGCCACCTCCATGTAACTCCAGGGCTATTCGTGCAGCTCTCCTCTGATGACCACCTTTTTCCTGCCCTTCAGGCATATTATCCCTATATATATGCATTCTGTAAGCTACCTCTACTCTCCAAATTTCTTCTTTCTTTCCACTCTTCCTTATCTTCTATTCCTTACATTCTTAGCAGCCTGTGTAACCTTGCATCACAATTCATTCCCCCTTCAAATCCCAACATTGCTAATTTCTCACCAAGCTTCCATCCCCAAAGCCTTTCCCTGTAGCTCCATTTCAGTCTTCAGAAAGCAGCTTCATTCATTTCCCATTGCCAATAGCTATATCGAAACTTCAGAAAATTGGCTCCCTTATTTCAATGGACTTCCTTAAATTTAGTGTTGTGGATCCTATAGGTCTTAGTTCCCATTATTTTCATCAAGCCCTCTCTCGCGACTGATATTCTCTTAGTCTCACACTCCTACCAGTGAAGTCCTTCCTTCATGCTTCTATCCGCTTTAAAACTTCCCAAATCCAAAGCTGTGCTGTTCGTTAAGGCTCTTTTTATTAACAGCAAAATGTTTATCTGTTTCATACAACAAATACGACGGGAAGCCTGTAATGATGATATGCAGATCCTCTCTCATTACCCTAAGTTAGAAGTGTAGTTCCAAGAAAGGCATTACAGCTGCCTTCAAGAGACTCCACCTGACTCACTTGGTGATGGTTCCCAGGGTGCAGGTATTAAAGGCAACAGTTCAATGACTGGCTGTTAATATTGTTTCTGCTCTTAAGAGGAAAAAAGTAGATTACAACCCCAAATTTTTTCCCTGTCAATGTCTAGGAGAACATCTGAAAACTGCTTGGGAACTGAAATGAGGATTTTTCAGCATCAGAGACTGTGGGAAAGGATTATCCTCAGTGAAATTGCTTTAAATCCTGTTTCATTTTAAAAGCTTCTACTTCTATTCTTCATTTTTATTTCTGTTTCAAAGGCTTTTGGTTGTGCTCTCCCCTGGGGTCAAGCACACATCCCCTGAGAAATCTGGGGGTGGAAAGACAAGAAAATTTCAGGAAATCTCTTTCTTAGACTGTATTTATCATTGCTGAGCTCAAGTATTTCTCCAGAGAGAAGAAAATTAAGCATTTGGAAATATGTTCTTTTTCTGCCATTGTTTATATTGCAGTTAAAAGCTTTTTATCCATGCCTACTACACCAGTGACCAACTGTCATCTTCTCAAGGGAAGAGACACATCAAAAAGGGTGCTTCGGCCCACAACAGTCACTTCTTTTACATGGCAGTAAATACATACTGGGTTTCTCAGAAAACACATAAATACTAAGCACTAGATTTTTTTATGCTTTGTAATTTATTCATAACCAGGTTGTCTTCACTTATTTGTTTGGCTCTTTCTGACTGACTTCTGGACAAATGCCATTTTTCATTTCACTTGCTTGGATAAGCTTTGAACCAAGTTCTTGTCCATGTTACTAAATATTTAGGCCATTCTGAAACTTCTATAGCAAAGTGCAAGAAATGTTTTTAGACAAAGTCCTTTTGGTTCCAAATTGTCTTGAATGGAGGCCAGATACATACATTTTCTTCTGAGGTATATGTTCAGTGGATTCTCCAGAGCTTGAGAGTCCTTCTTTTTAAAGATTTATAATCCCTAATAAAAGATTCAGTCACTTTAAGTCACTGTCCATCCATTCTCTGATGCTTCTTTGAATCAAATTAGGCATTTAAGATTGCATATGCGCAGTGCAACCTCTCAAAAATAACATAATCTAAAGCCTGGGAAAATCTGCATTGTAGTGAAAGCATTGAAGGAGATACTTAAGGGCTCAAAGAAAGGAAAGATACCATCAAGAACACAAGATCTATTATGCAGGTCATATTAAAGGAAGGTCTGTTTACACCTATATACACCATTCTACAAGCATGTTCCCATTACAGATTCAGGAAGCTAACATTGCAAACAACAAAAAAAGAAGTTACAGCTTACCTGCCTGAGGATCTACAAGAAAGGAGATAATAAACAGGAATTTCCTCTGTTCCTGAAATTAATGGGGTTTCTATTCATTGGATGGATTTTTTTCAAACAAAAATGTCCCTGTTCTGTTTCTCTCTCTGCCTTCTACTTATTCACACAACATAAAACTTTCACACGTAACAGTCACACAGATTTCTGTATTTAGCTGGAGCAAGTATAAAGTGATCACAGCTTATTTGTTCAGCTCACCACTACTAACAGGATTCTTTAATTTTCTGTTTTTTTGTACTCATCACCAGCAATATTACTTACTGCTTAGCACAAGTTGCAATTAAAGTCCCAATTAAATTATTACATATCATTAATCACCTATACACAGGTCTATTTTGTCAGCACATGCCAAGCATTGTGTTTGAATGGATGTGATGCCACCAATGACTTCAAGCTGATGCATACCATGCATATGAATCAAAACACAGAACTCAACCCAAAGGATCGTGGAGAGGCAGCAGGCCAGTTCAGTTTGGACTTTGCTTTCCATTATAAACCTGACTCTGATTCCCATCCAAAATCTTCAAAGAACATCCTCTGTACTTCAAACTTTTCCTGCTTGGCCATTTGGGGATATTTTCTACAGATGACCAGAAATACCTATCAGATTCCAGGGAACTTTGAAAAGATGTCAAATGAGGCTGCTTTAAAAAGCAGTAATTTTCTTGCTTCTTCTTCTCTTCTGAAGATAGTCTTTAAATACTTTCTCATCATTAATGAGTTTTTTCACAATGATTTTTTTTTTTCTAGACTAAGGGGGGAAAATGAAATCTTTTCTTTCTGCCAGCAACCAGTGATGGTCTTTTTGCCAGTGATCAATCACATCAGTGTGCCTGATGCAACTGCTGAATTTGCTTTCGCTAAGATGGACACCACCACAGTGGTAAGAAAAAAACTCAGGCAACCCCCCCCGTACACATTCCTCTCAACCAAGCCCTACTTGGCAGATGTCTTTTGGAAAGAATCCCACATTGATGAAATATTTTGAAGAGAGATTATGATTATGACTTCTCTCTTTCTGCTTATGCTACTGGATCTAGAGCACTGGGTCTACTGTGTGGACTGGGAATGCTCAAGGGGGAGAACTCTTCACCCTTCACCAAGAAGTGACTATAAATCTCTGGACAAATGAGTCAATTGAATGAGTTTCAATGGTCTCCTCTTCAAAGCTATTTCCAGATAGATTTGGCCACCATTTCTAACAGAAACAGCAGGATCAACTTAAAGATCTTGAGAAGGGCTTCTGGTGATAGCACTTCTCTGGTAAAAGAAATAAAAGTTTATCAGCAAAAGGGAGATTTTGCTAGACATTAGTTCAATTTTTTTTAAATTCCTTTCACACTCAGCCATCTGTTGGTAACATGCATTCACAAAACAAACCTAGTCTGACAAAACACAATAGCTAAGAAATCTTACTCTTTCCATTTATACTTGTAATACTGCATCAAACTTTCAGAGACAACTTCAATTAAGCGTATGCCCAGCACAACTCAGGAGAGCTGAACTAATCCATGTTTGCTGAAATGATCACATAGGAATGGCTCCATTGTTCGAAGATCATCCAGAACAGTCTGTCTCAGGGTCTGCCCCCTTTTTATGTTATTCACCTTCTTAAACAACCTTACATGAATGTTGAGAAACAGGAAGACACGCCAGTTGTCCTTCCAAGACAGTTTTAAGGTTCTTATGCCTAGATGAAATAGCACAAAGGACAGTCTCTTATATTAAAGTATTATTTTGATTGTACTTAGACAACGACTCAGCATGACATGACTGATGACTTTGCGGGATTAAACACACACATGGGCAAATTCAGACTACAATGGATTCTTGCTAACATGCCTGTGTTTTGGGGAAAGACCAGAGGCACCAGAGTGCTGAAGTCCACCAGAAACTCTGCCCCACAGGGCATTCATGGAGGGAATGTGTGATTTCAGGCAAACCTATCACTGAACGTCCCTGTGGGGAGCACTTAAAACTATCAGCAGTGTTAGTTTTCATCTGCCCTTTTCTAAACCAGAAGTCGATTACCCAGAAGCTAACTATCTGCTATGTCATATAGTAGTAAAAGTTGTGAGATGATAGGAACATTCATGAATATCAATTCCAAGTAAACTTGGAAGCTATCAGTTACTTTCACACTAGAGAACTTCACAAAAAGGAAGCACTGTATTTTCCAAGTCTTTAAGATTCAGTTCTTACCGGCAATGAATGAAGTCAGGAACAGGATTATGCTGGCTAAAAGATGCTGCATCAAGATTCATGCAAATTTCCACATTGTCTCCAGCCATGATTCGTACCGCAGCTTTATTTTCATCCTCAAATGTCTGCCTTTGTAAGGATGCACACAGCAGCAACATGAAGTCATCTAGGAGAAAGCAGTGGTTGCAAAGAAAAATTCAGTCATTAACTTAGGTGTACGGAATGGTGGTGATATATTATAATGTAGTTACCAGACTTCTTTCCCACACTTTGAACCTCCAAGATTTTGCTATTTTCAACGCATTTAACACCTATTTGAAATTTATTAATGTATTTGGGTTTTTTACGTGTCATCTTTTATGATTTTTATTAAGAAATAAATTAGAAAAGGGGAATAATTTGAACTTTTTGATGCCGCTTTATTAAAAATGGGATACAGAAAAAAGAGGTGCAGCAATTACTAATTCTTTGAATTTTTCTACTACCTACAAAGCCACGCTTAGTATTCAATCTCCCACAGAATATGTCAGCTTGCTACTGAAGAGTAAACAAAAGGCTGGCTTCAAATTACACTGTACAGATGTTTTAAGCAAAGGACACATAAACACTTCCAACTATATGCTAAAACACTTACAGACAAGGAAGACAGGGTTTGGTCTCACAATGAAGTCTGGAAAGTATAACCACTTTATGATGTTGGAGTTGAAGTTGGCATTACCACTTCTCCATGGATAGTCTGTATGACAAGAAGCACGCAAAAATGCAATCAATACTTTATAACAATTACTTCATCCTTTTCTTCTGAATACTTATCAATTTTCCAGCGCTCTTCTGTAAAAGCAAGCAGCAGTAATTGTCCATAAAGTGTAAGTGTCCTTACCTTTACAAGGAGCAGGTGGGATGCCAATGCAAAGGAAATACTGGAATGTAATGATGCATGCCAGAAAACAGCAGTATTTTGGCCAGATCTCTGCAATAGCTTTTCTTCTACGTCGATACAATACAGCAATCAGCCAGAAGGCATGAATCATGGCATAAAAATCCATTCGTTGACCAATTACATTCACTGACAGAAGAAAACAGGTCTGGAACAGAAGTAAAGAAATATAAGCAACATTTGCAACCTGATGGCTAATCAATGCAGCAGTGATAAACTATTCTGGATGCTAACAGAATGCTTGGACACATGCTGGGGCTGACTGCAGGAACTCTCTGCAAACCAACACACTAAAACAGTTTTTCTCTCTCCAACAGCAACCTCCTCCATCCCACCCCAACATCCCAAATTTTCAATACTCTTCTATGAGTGTCAACTACATGAATACAGCACTGAAGCTGTGTTCCATTATGTGATATCTGAAGATATGGAATGGAAAGATATCTAAAGATACGGAATGGAAAGAG